TGGTGAAGCTACAAAGAGATGGATATGACAGCAGCTCCAGCAAATGAGGTGTTGCAGAGTTCTTAGTGCATTTTATGAGTCTCTGGGCACTGTGACTGCAAGTAATGTGATGTTCAGAATAAGATGCTTCAACATTTTGGTGGTGCTTCTTGGTTTATTGTTTATGGTCATTGTGAGGAGCGAGGAGTATTTATATGTGTGCGGGCACATTGAGATGTGTGTGTATTAGAAGAATATGACAATCACTGAAATTCTACTTCATCTTTTTAAAGCGTATGGAGTTTCCCTTTTTATGGGAAAGGTGCTGATAAATGTAACGTGTTGGTACAATACGAGTGTGTGTTTGTCTTGTGTTAGTCCATACCTATGTGTGCATATGCACAGTGTGCTTGCCTGTGTCGCTTACAAAAAATGCAGTCATTACCCCTTACAGTGTTCCTGTGAAGTTCTTTGAGGCATCCTTCCGACTTGACAGATGCTATATCAAATCTAAGAATTATTTTGCCTGAGCGTATGTGACATTTCCTTGCGGAGTACATACAGGGAAGAAGGGGATTATTCCTTGTGGCGGTTAGCCATTACCTTGTCCTATTTACTAGATTTTAAAATAGAAAGGTTTCAGATAATAATAATAATCCTTGCATTTGCTACAGCGCCTTATCATGTCTTTGAGACGTCTTGAAGCGTGTTACTGTATAGTGATTACTGTAATCACTGTAAAGTGATTTGGCTGTATATTTTGTGGGCGAAATGCGGCAACCACGACTGTTTGTGGGACACTGCTGTGCACAATTGGCTGCCGCATTTCGCCCACAAGCACACAGTTAATTCACTTTACAGTATATTCCGTGAAGAGCTTTGAGACGTCTCAAAGATGTGAAAAGCGCTATATCAAATGCAAGGATTATTATTATTATTTGTATAACTAATTGGGTACACAGCAGGTGAAGCGAATATACCAACTTTAGTTACAACCTAAAATCTAAAAGTGGTGTTGACACAGTATGTTACAGATTTAAATTAAAACTTGACAAGTGATTTACCTTCTATCAACTGAATGCTTCTAAACACAGCAGCAGAAGAATATTCCTCCTCTAAACCCGCCAAAGTTACTTCTAGCTTTTCTTCTCTCCAGGGTTTCATCTCTGAGTTTGGTTCTCTATGTCACATATACAGAATTTAGATCCTCCTCCTGAACACATTTCCTTTGACTAGTTGAGCTTGGATATTCAGTTATTTTGTCTGCAAGCAGAAAGCACTGGACTGTTCTTCTTATCTGGTACTGACGTTGACACCAAGGTTTTCTTTCTCAAGCCTGGACCTTACTTTGACTTCCAATGAGATTTTCAATAAGTAGCTTCTTAATAATAGCAGAATTCTCCCTGGTGTAATGCAATTCCTACATCCAGGTGACTTCTGTGTCAATGGCTGAACACTTCATAAATGTGAAGGGATGTCTGCAGTGAAACTAAAGACTAATTATATTTCTTCAATATTTGCACGGAAAACTCGTGTGTAAAGGGCTCGAATCCTGGAAAATGTCTGGTTCTCAGCATTGATCTTGCCAGACATCACTGTGCCAAGGGCATGTTGCCCAAACTTTTTTTTGTTTTAAGATTTGAACTCGCATTGAAGCTGACACTCCAATGAAGTGAGCGACCAATTTTATTTGGGAAATTGTTGGCCAAGACACTGGGAGAAACTTTCTTCTCTTTTTGAATAGCACAATGGGATCTTTAACGTCCACCTCAATAGGCAGACGGGACCTTGGGTTAACGTTTCATCTCAAGGATGGCATCTCCAACATTGCAACACCCCTCCCCCCCCACCCCTGGGCACTGCATTGGAATGCCAGTTAGCGTATGTGAGTTCAAGCCCTGACGTGGGGTTTAAACCCACAACCTTCTGACCTAGAGGCGAGAGTGCTGGGACTGAGCCAGGCTAACGTACATTTTTCCCATTCAACCATTAATCTGACAAAGTACATAAGTGATCAATGAGCTCCTTATTCCCGCCCTGACAAGATAAATCTGTGTGGATCAGTAACAGCCTACAGCACACTTCAGATAACTAATGATCAGTAACTCTTCCGAACGGCCTGCCCTTTCTATTAACTGTGCCCAGATCAGCATCCAATACAATAGTAATAATTCTTGCTTTTGATATAGCGCTTTTCACGTCTTCTAGACGTCTCAAAGTGCTTCACAGAATATAATGTAAAGTGAATTAATTGTGTATTTGTGACCGAAACGCGGCAGCCAATTGCGCACAACAGTGTCCCACAAACGGTCATGGATTGAAGTGATCAATTTATTAGTTTTTTCTTGAAGGCTTATTATCAGGCATGTGGAGTAAGGAAACTTGCCCAAGGTTTCTCCTTGCTGGGAATCAAACCCAGGTCTCTCGCGAGGTGAGTGCGCTAGCAACTGAGCTACAGGACTCCATATCATTTCAGGGTTATAAAGTGTGCAACTGTGCCAGTGCCAGTCTGGTTAAAGGTCTTATTTGGAAAACATGAGACATTTCCTCCTCTGAAAGGGTACCAGAGACTGTAGTACCAAAAAATATAGTGAATTTACTTTACAGTATATTCTGTGAAATGCTTTGAGACGTTTCGAAGATGTGATAAGGTGCTATATCAAATGTAAGCATTATGATTATTATTATTCAATAGGCATCACTGAGAATCTGTTTCTGGACTGGGAAGATGTGTAGCGATTGCTGCGCTGGATCATAAGAGTATTCTGCAGTTAGCATATGGATCAATCTGTTTAAACAGTGGAGGCTAGTCATGGAGAGATGTTTTATACACCCCCGGGTCACAGTGTAAGCTCAGTTTTACTGTAGAGTCTGTCTGTGTCTCTCTTCCACTATCTGTCAGTTTAAACCTCCTTTACAGCTCATTACAGTCTCTCACTGCTACTTACTGAGTGATGAAAAATCATGCTGAACATTAAAGGTCCAGCGGTTGAAGCAGAAATGGAGTGTAGATTTATTGAGGAGGAAACTCCAACCTCTAAACTCCCTTTATTGCCGGTGGGAATGAGAGGCTTTTGGAAAAAATACAAAATATTTATTTAAATATTTATCAAATGTAATATTGAAAGTCTAAGTTCTAAATGAAAATAGACCACTTGATTGAAGGATAGTGAGTGATGCTCTTCAATCAGCTCCCTGTTACACATGGCTGTTCCACTCCCACACATCACATCCATTTACTGCTGCTATGTTACAACAACAATAAAATGGCATTTGTATAGCGCCTTTCGTAGACAGAGGACGTCCCAAGGCACTGGACAGACAGTTTCGGACCCGAGTTGGGGGTCGGGGAGGGTGGAGGGCGGGGGGGAAGCAGAGAGATCAAAGGCACGGTTGAAGAGGAGGGTCTTGAGATGGGTCTTGACAGTGGCAAGGGAGGGGGTGAGGCTGAGGGACTGCGGGATGGAGTTCCAGAAGGTGGGGCAGAGTTACAGAAGATAAAACAGTGGCTTGCCATGAACAGCATGAACCTCTCCATTCAAATGAAGAGTACGTTAGTCCTTTGCTCCCGCTGATGCCCTTTGCTTTTGTGATTCTTGTCTTATGTTTATTCCTTACTCCCTCTACCCATCAGTAATAATAATAATTGGGTGACTCAATCCACGACTGTTTGTGGGACACTGTGCAATTGGCTGCTGGGTTTCGCCCACAAAACAAACACTCACTCCATTTACTGTGTATTCTGTGAAGTGCTTTGAGACACCTCAAAGATGTGATAAGACGCTATATCAAATGCAAGGATTATTATTATTATCAGCGGCTATGCCCTCTGCTCTCTGAAGCTCCCTCTTCAATTCGCTTCTTCTTGCCCTTTTCCGTCTGCTTTAAAAAGCCTCTTTAAAAAAAAATTATTTTATTGACCGTGCCTTTGGCCAACACCCTTAAATTTCCCCATCCTTTGTCCCTTACTTGGTGATTCCCATTGCCTTTATAAAGAATTTTCAAATTTACCCTTGCAAAGAATTACTGGATAGGCAGGTCGCAGTGTTAAGTGCAAATTGTATGTTGACCTTATTTCCAGACATGGGAGCGAGACGTAGTTGTGCTCTCAGGGTAACAAAGGCGAATACATGTTGTAAACTGTATCAAGAGCAAAAAAACTACATAAGACTGATATTGATATTTCAGGTTGGTGGCAGCAGTGCGCCAACGTACTCCATATCATTGCAGCAGTACTTAGTGACACCGTTATATCAGTTAATTACAGTGATCGCCCGGTATTAAAGCTGGCTGTTGGCTTCCCAGCTGCACTCAGCAGATAACACCCGTGTGACAGACATGTTAGTGAGGCCAGCAATCACCGTCCTGTGAAACTCGGGCAGTGCAGATAATTGTGGATGCTGGTGAGATGCTGAGTGTACATTTCACCCACAATACCTTGTAAGCAACGTGTTTAAATCATTTGGGATGTTTCAAATTTTCATCACTTCTTTTTCCTTCTTCGGGAAACTGGTGATGCACCCAGTATGATCAGGGTCAGCTCTGGAGCGAGAGTGAGTGTGAGACAGAGGGAAAGGTTCCTGTTCCTTGGGATATCTGGATTGGATTTCCGGGAGTGTGGGGTGTGGGGGCAACACTGAGCCGTTCACAGCCATTTTTATTAATTAGTAATAATTATAGCGGATTGGTTTTCTGAGGGTAATAATCCCTTCAAAAAAAATATACAGTATATAAACAATGATTTGGTCACTCAATCACGACTGTTTGTGGGACGCTGCTGCACGCAATTGGCTTCCTCACTTCACCCACTCACCCCCCACCCCAAAATATACAGTCAATTCACTTACAGTATATTCTGTGTCTGTATATTCTATCAAATCAAGGATTTATTATTATTATAGTAAAACAATGTGACAGCAATAGGAATACCTGAACGTAGATAATGAAATAAATGGGAGACTGGAGTCCTTGGTGTGTGGGGAGAGCGTGGACTTACACTATCGTTGTTCTTTTTTACGCAGGCATACTTCCGACAGGGTGTTGCCCTCCAGTACCTGGGCCGCCATGCAGACTCGCTGGCTGCGTTTGCCTCTGGCCTGGCCCAGGATCCCAAGAGCTTACAGCTGCTAGTCGGGATGGTGGAGGCTGCCATGAAGTCTCCGCTCCGAGGTAAGATCTCACAATGCCCCCATTCCAACAGTTACTGATTCACTGGACAAACTGTTGCCAGCAATCATTTGGGGGCACTGGTTAACACTGGCTCTCTGCTACCATGACCAGTCTCTCTCTTTCACTCCTAGTCTGAGTTGACTTTGGCTCGCTGTCTGGGCTGAAGACCGCAGTGTCTGGCAGTAATGACGTCTCTGAGAGGACACTCCTTGCTTGGAATGCCTTGGTTATAAAAGGGTTTGATCCAGTAGTTTGCAAACCAACGTCAGGGAAATGGAGCTGTCACCGTGAAGACAGCAGCTTGTTCATGATCAATCTCCACACTTTCATGGAGTAACTTAGTCTCTGTTTTATGTGTCAGGCCTGTTTTATGTACGCAATTGGCTGCCCGCATTTTGCCCACAAAACATACAGGCAATTCACTTTACAGTATATTATGTGAAGCGCTTTGAGACGTCTCGAAGACGTGATAAGCCGCTGTATCAAATGCAAGGGTTTTTTTAATTATAGAACTGTGTGTTTCTGTGATCAAACCAATGTTGAATAACAAGCCCGGTGTTTTTTGGTTCACACGGTGAACGTTGCATCGTTTGCTTGCTGGATAGATAGGGCTTCAGGTCGGACTCTGTTTTTGCTTCAGTGCTTCCTGTTGTTCCCATGGTCCCTGTGCTGACATTCACCAAAGGATGTGAAGACTTATAATATTGACTGATATTTGGTCAGTTTATTTATCGTCAAGTAAATCCTTTGTGTTTCCTTCCCTTTGAAAACTCCACATACAATGCAGAATCCCAGGCAGCAAGGGTTAACCTGGGACCTGTCCTTGGCCTCCTATCAGCTGATGGGGATGTGTGAGAGAGTCTCAGGGCGTGCGAGAGGGTCTCGGGTGTGTGTGTGTGTGGGGAGGAATTGGCCGGTTGGTATTTGTGTGTGTGTGGGGCGGGGGTGTGGGATTGGCGTGTGGAGCGCGAGGTGATCATTTGTGTGAGGGGGTGGAGATCCCCGAGTGTAATTCAGTCACAATCTGTTTACTGACGAGTACGATCTGATTTTTGCCACAGAATCCTTGGAGCCGACTTACCAGAAATTACAGAAGATGAAGTTGGACAAGAGCCCGTTTGTGGTCGTGTCTGTCATTGGCCAGGAGCTGCTGACAGCCGGGCACCACAGTGCCTCAGTGGTCGTCCTGGAGGCTGCCTTGAAAATCGGGACATGCAGCTTGAAACTCCGTGGCTCAGTGTTCTCTGCCCTGAGCAGTGCTTACTGGGCTTTAGGGAACTCCGAGAAGAGCGTTGGCTACATGCAGCAGGACTTCGATGTAGCCAAAACTTTAGGTAAACCTGTAAGAACGGGTTTACCTGTTTAGCAATTGGGGATGGGAACAATACAAAATAGCACCTGATTCAAGCCAACAGATTAGACGCAGCCCTGATGATGGAGTACCGTGGGGGTGGCAGGAGGTCACTGCTTTGGATCCTCAGCTGTTCTTCACTGAGTTTGCTGGTTTCAACTGATCAAATCGGTCCCAGTCTTCCCTGGATTTAGAAGGACAAAACTAGCCAGGATTCTTATTGTTCATTCCTGTCTGCCAGTTCTCGCGGTGGATGCTAAAGATCCCATTGTCTTGTTCATAAACACATTTTACAGAATCTTTGAACATCCATCTGCAAAGATGGCTAGAACCTCAGTTTGATGGCTCAGCTGAAAAGTGGCATCTCAAAAAAAATCCAGTATTTCCTAATACTGCACTAAAGAATCAGCCTAGGATGTGAACTCAAGGGTAGATTATGGGGCTTGAACCCACATGCTTCTGCCCCAGAGACGAGGAAGAATGTGCGAGTGTGCATCTGCAAATGGAAGTGAAACTGTTGGCAATTAATTCATCGAGTCAGTTGTGAAAGTTTATTGGGGGCGGGAGGGAATTTGCCAGCCAGCAGATGTTTCCTGGGCAACAGCACAGGGTCCACTCTGTCACATTTGAGAAAAAGTGTCCAGAACACAGATCCAATTAGATTTTAAAAATCTGACACCAGTTTTACACAGTTGATCTGGCACAGAATTGCAGGCTGATGTCGCTCCTGCTGGCTGGATAATTGAGTGTATGTAATTTGTCTCTAAATTATGATTATTTTGAGATTGCATCTGGATGTAGATGATAGCTTTACAGAAATTTACAGGGAGAAGCAAACATTTCAGTTCTAGACCTTTGCTCTACATTTATTATCTCATTATTGCTGCCCAGAATCACACAGCTGTACTGAAGGTGTATATTACCAAAATAATAATAATTTGGTCACTCAATCCACGACTGTTTGCGGGACACACTGTACGCAATTGGCTACTGCGTTTTGCCCACAAAATATACAGTCAATTCACTCTACAGCATATTCTGTGAAGCTCTTTGAGATGTCTTCAAGATGTGATAAGGCGCTATATCAAATGCAAGGATTATTATTTTTTATTTTACTCACACCCAGCAAACCTGTTCAACTCAACTCATCTGCCGGTTGTCGCAGCTCTGCACAAATACTCACAGTACATTGAAACAGTTAACTAAATGGCCAACAGAGCTCTCTTTATTGTTCCTGAAAACCGGGGATTCATGTAGGAAATGGAGAAGAACTGATTCCCGGGTAACTCTGGCAAATCCGGCTCCAATTTCCATCGCAGTTCCATGCCAACATTTATTTTAAAATTTCTGGATGTGCTCCTGGCTGTAATTATACTGTCAGCCCTTCCTACCCTTGAAATTCTTCTGCCAGCATAAACAGAATCTGTGTTCAAACTGTGGGAGCCCCAAAGATCATCATTGGTCTAAGAGCTAGTAATCTTTTTGCAAAGTGTTTTGGAACAGTATTGCAGAAATTAAGCACTTGCATAAGTATTATAGCAGACGTGAGTGTAATGAAGACTTGTGCTCTGGCAAAGTCTTGTTCACCACGAGTTTCCATTCTCCATCATTCCACGTATCTGAACACTTCGATCAGATTCCAGTCTCAACCCCAAGTTCCATTATTTCTATATATTCTCTTAAGAGGTTAGATTTCTCCCTCTTCCGTTGACAAAAGTTCAGTCCAAACTTATAAATGATGCAGTTGAGACCCATTAGTTTTTTTTTATCCTGGAAATGCAAGAGAACCACCAACAGAACTGCTGTCAATCAAAAAACGTCCTCTACAATTGCATGCCTGAGTTGAATCTTAAAGAGCGACCATTAGAGATTTCCACCGCAAGCATGGATACCACTCTGAAACTTACAGAAAGATCCACTTACACAAAGTGAAGAATTGTACAGTGTCCAGCTTTTAAACCATTATAATGTTTAAAGGCCACCAGTAATTGGCTCCATCTGTCAAAAAAACATCCTGTGCAAGTTTCCACTCTGAAGACTTTTTTTTGACATTTCCAATCTCAGTACTGCCCATATTAAATTTAAACGTTACACTAAAATTTTAAGTGAACCGCCTGGCTCAGGAACCGGATTACCAAGACTGCCACAGATGGCGGGCTTGATTCTGTTGCCAAATATGTCACCTTGGAGCACGTTCAGCTCCGAGGAGATCTGGAGCTCCAATGCCTGGCCCTGATCTGTCCACCTTAAGCATCTTGCACTGCATGAACCATCCGACTATCCCGATTAGATTCCAGACTGGATCTAATTCTGTATATAAATTATCCAAAAACCCAGATGAGATTTTAGTGTGTAATTCACCTCCAGTATTCTCTACCTCTCTCGGATCAATAATGATATATAAATAAAACTCATTTTGTCAGTCTTCCAAAGCCCTTTTGCAGTGGTTAAGTGAACATTGAGTTAAGCTGATATTGACTAAACGTGGATTCAACAAAGACTGCAAAGACAAGGCTGAAATGAACTAAATTGAAAAGTGATGAAAATCCTCTTGATAACGGGAGTGGACAGGAAGAGGAGAATTTACTGGGAAGTAATTCCCTGTGTTTTACTGGGATTGTCTAGATTAGTCTTGGGATCTATACAGAGCTCTTATTTGCTTATTTAACTCCATTCAGTAATGATTCAAGGCATTAAATGTGATTTCAGTGTTTCGAAACTTGTAGGGACTGAAATTGCTTATTGCTGATGGGCAACTCAACGGCTGATTATAGCCCCAGTCCCAAAAGGTCTAAGCGAATCCCAATTGTTTGACATAGAATTTGTGACTCTGGAGGCAGCGAGGCTAAATACATTCCTGTCTGAAATGCATTCCATGATGGTTGACGATATTTGGAAAGAAAGGGAGTTCAGAACTGATCATTAAGGCAATCTGTGGAGGTTATAAACTGCGATTATTCCACGCAGTCAGTTTAATTTAAATAAACACAAAATATAGTTACTGTTTCATTCATTCCAATACACAGGGCTCTTCCAGTTAACTCTGTATTCGTCCAGTTTGGGTGAGGAGTTGGAAGGAGGGAAAAGCCAGGCAAGATTGGGGAAAGTAGGGGCAAAACGATCTGGAGAATGAATGCTCATTGAGTTCTGTGCTTCACATACTGATTGTTTCAATGGAGGAATAGGTACCTCACAAGAGAGGCCTGTTAAAATGTGGTTGCTTTATAAACAGTAATATTTAAACATGCTTGAGAAACAATTCCTTGCATTTGATATATCCTGTGCAGGATGAGAAAGAATGTTGAGTACTCGGCATTGTACTACTGCCCTCCGGAGTTGACCTGTTCAAGGACATCCCTCCTGGACTAACTGGAAACGCATTAACTTGGAGATGTCGAGGATGCTTCTGATATTCATAAAACTTAATATGCGCTGTGCATTCAGTGCCACATCTGGAGTTTTGCTCTTGAGTTCAGTCATGTTTTGCATATTATACGCTCAACCCACTGATTAAAAAAAATAATCCTTGCATTTGCCATTTCACCAATAGGGAGGATGTCTCAAAGTGCTTCGTATGAACTACTGTAGTAACCCTGTATCTTGTAGGTGAATGTGACAGCCCATTTGCTCACAGCAATGTCCCGCAAACAGCCTTGAAGTGAATGAGGGATTGCTGGCCAGGATACAGGGGAAAACTCCTTGAATAGTGCCATGGGATCTTTAACGTCCGTCCACCTGAACAGGCCGATGGACCTCGATTTAAAGGGTGGCAGCTCTGATAATAAAGCGCTTGCCACAGCGTTGTATTGGTGACAGCCTAGACTATGGAGTTCAAAGTCCCAACATGGGGCTTGAACCTACCACCTACTGACTGTGATGTGAGTGCTGCCAGCTGAGCCAAGCTGACACCATCCAACAGATGATTTCATGTGAAAACAACAACAACAAATTACTTTTGTACAGCACCTTTCATGTCAGGAGGACATCCCAAAGCGCTGGACAGTCAGGGATCCGCACCTGAGCTGATGGTTGGGATCAGGAGGGATGGAGAGTGGGTAGGAGGGTGACCGAAGGCACGATCGAAGAGGAGGGTCTTGAGGCGGGTCTTGAAAGGGGCAAGGGAGGAGCGAGGCGATGCAGAGGAACTGTGGCATGGAGTTCCAGAGGGTGGGAAAGGGGGGGTGAAGGCCCTCCCGCCAATGATTGTTTTCCGTTCCCCTTTTCTCAGGTGACCACACGGGCGAGTGCAGAGCACATGGCAACCTGGGATCGGCATTCTTCACCAGCGGTAACTACCGAGAGGCCCTTAACAACCACCGCCTCCAGCTTGTGCTGGCCATGAAACTAAAGGATCGTGAGGTGAGACCTACCGTTCCTTGTCCATGCTGAACCAATCATCAATGCCTTTGACTCCCACCTTGCATGCCTTCTGACAACACTTTACGCAAGGTCTTTGTGCATTTCTGTCCTTCTGCTCCAAATCGTTCATCAACTTACAACCTCAACCCAATGAACTACAATATTTCACTCCCAACTGGTAGATGAGTTTGGATATTGATCGCAGCTGAAATTTACAACTGGGATAAGGCTTTTGTACACCTCTTGAGCATGTTTCCCAGGCAGCAGCAGTGTCCGATGAGCCTCAGGAAAATGGGTCAAAGCTGGAAAAATAGGTGGAGAGGAAATGAGGAATGAGTGGTTCAAAAAATCCGACTCCAATATTTCTACAAATACTAAATATTTCTGCCCAGTATGTAAACTTCTGAACGCAGACGAGTTGCGTTTTGTAAGCAGGTGCCACTGCCCTGATGGGCCGATCCATTGAGTATCAGATTAAATACAGGAAGTGTATTTGAAGCTTTGGAAATTAGCTTCTAAATGAGCCGTGTTATTGTTGGAACAAGTTTTCCTACGTTCCTGTTTGGTCGTAAGAAAGGACAAAGCAGAAGATGTAATACACATTTTAGGGAGAACCTAATACTTTGCAGTGGTGAGGTAATGCATTTATAAGGTTGTTCCTGAGGAGAAATTTTCCGTACGTGAAATTGCACAAAGGGAGTATTTGGTTTGCATCAGTTGAAAGTAATTAAGAGGAGCAGGTCCAGTAGTAGTATTATTGTAAGCAGAACTGGGATGGATCTCCGGTCAAGACGTTCCAATGGAACATTTGACCCCAAGGCAAAGCTGACGGTCTTCAGAAGTCAGGAAATGACGTGATTGCAGCTATGCAATACTTACAGAGAGAGTGGTATTTGGGGAGGGAGGATGTTTACAAACGTAATGGAGGGTGTTGATGCTTGCAACTGGTAATGGATTTCACAGTAGTTATAGATGCAAGCTTTGCAAGCAAGAGACCTGAGTTCAATTCCAGGCAGAGGGCGAAACCTTGGGCAAGTTTCCTTACTCCACACAGAGCCTAATAATAATCCCTCCAAAACCAAAAACAATAATAAATTGGTCATTTTCAATCTACGACTGTTTGTGGGACATTGCTGTGCGCAATTGGCTGCCGCGTTTGCCCACAAATATACAGTCAATTCACTTTACAGTGTGTTCTGTGAAGTGCTTTGGGACGTCCTCCCGACGTGAAAAGCGCTATATCAAATGCAAGGATTATTATTATTATAGATGTGAGGGGAATAGTGACATGGTGTAATAATGGCAGGAATGGGATGCAGCGTTAAATTCCTCATATTGCATTGACATTACCTCTCAATTTGGAGCACAGAGAGAGAGAGAGAGTGTGTGTGTTCAATGCTATTGGTAGTTCTGTGGCTTTCGTAAGAGCAAGATTGCAGAATTAATTGATACCTGAATTCTCTGCTTATTCAACCTGTTTCAGCAGAATGTTTTGCTTTTCCTAAGTAGCTTCTTAATAATCAGATAATATTTCACATAATCCAGCATAAAGGTTGAACATTCATCTTCAGTACTACAGTGAAATGTAATTGTCATCAGAATTTTGGGAGTTCCCGCCCAGTTGATTGAGTTCTCATGCGCCATCTGTGTACACATACAAAACGCACCCACTGACACACTCAACCTTTGAAGAGAGATCACTGAATAGTCTTCGTGAGCAGCAACAAAAAAGGTGAGAAAGCAGTTCCGCTCGGAATCAGCGTATGTGGGCATGTTGCCAGGCAGAGGGAAAACTAACACTGGTGACAGATGAGGAGGAAATGCCAGCCACCACTGGTTCTCGAGCTGTTTGTGCAGCGTGTGAAACCTGCACGTCTCGTGGAATATTAATCACTGCTAATCACACCAGTTCCCAGTGTCGCTGCAGTGTCACATTACTGACTCTGCAGGAACCCGACTTTGGTTCCTACTTATGGAAGGTAAACAGAGGCTGATTTTGGAGTAGTGCTGGTTTCTACAACTTCTTGCCCCTCAAACCCGGCGATGTTAATCCAAGGCATTCGAACGCCAAGTCAGATGGTTGAAATATGTGAATCAAGAAGCCTGTAACCCGCATCTTTCATTCCACTTTTGAACATTCTGTGGTGTTGGGGAGGCTAGTTCTGTGCAGGTTTTCCCATTAGCATATGCAATGTTACAGTGTCGGCCAGATGTTAGGAATTCTGTCACCATGCACTTTATTGTTGTTGGCTCTGGTACCACAATGACAGATGCTGATGCCAATGGGGGGTTGATGGAACTCCTCAGGATGTGGTTTTAGGAGGGATGGAGAAGCACAATGCAGAATAAGTGAAGTGTCATCAAGCTTTCTGGATGAATTGAATCTTTGGCTCTAACAGCAACATCCCAATGTTTATTAAATGCTCACTGACTCCTCTCTCTGGATGGACTGGCTTCTTGTGATTACATTGATGTATGATGGTCTCCTAGTAACAAAGAGTTTTATTTCTCCAGTAATTACAGAATGGATCACCACCACAAGCCCTCATTAAATTACTAAAATACTCCTAGAGGGCTTTTGATGGAAAGCAATTTGCTTGTTACCACATTTTCAAGGGTTATTTGTAATTTTAAATAAAAAGTGAAATGATGAAGGATTTCATGGACTGTCTGTTTAGTCTCCATGGAGGCTAATTTGCCAGTATTTAAATATACTGCACAAAATTAGACACTAAACATTGGGTATTTTGTGGGCTAGTATGGTTTATAATTCTGCATTTAATCACATTTCTTGCCATAAAAATGAACATGAATTTAACGTGGACATGCTTTCCCCTCAGTAGATATGTTTGTGTGCGGCGTGGGAAATGGTGTTCTGCCACAAGATGCTTATTTGAACCAAAGTAGCATCGCATCCCATTCATAAGTTCCATCTTCAAATGTTATTTTACCCATTCCAATGAGAGAGGCTTGTAGCCATATCTGGGTCAGAAGGTTGTGGGCGTAAGCCCCATGTCTGCTCGTAAGCTCATAGTCTAAGGTCACATTCCTGTGCATTGTTGAAAGCCCCAGCCTTCAGATGAGACATTATACCAAGGTCCCTTTGCTATAAAACGATGGGAAAAGAGTGAAACAACAAGAAGATTACATTTGTATAGCGCCTTTCGCGTTACGAGGATGTCCCAAAGAGCAGAGAGCTAGGGTTAATATTTTATAAATAGGATTTTAAAAAAATGGGGTAATACTTGACCTGTGTAAATCAATAGTTTCAAGTGGGTTATTGTGTCTAGTTCTGGTATATCCCTGCTATGGAAGAAATGCGAGGGCCACAGAGAAGGAGTAGAGGAAGGAGATTCACTGGGATGATACCAAGGATGAGAAGGTTTACAAGCAAGAAACTGGAGGAACTGAGGCTATTTTCCCTAGAACAGATAGCATTGAGAGGAGTCCAAAGAGAGAGTTTTAATATGATGAAGGGTTTTTTGATAACAAACGGAAATAAATTATTTCCACTGGTTGGTGAGTCGGTAATTAGTCGGTAACACTCCTACTGTTTGGTTGATTACTTCAGTAAAGACTCAATGGAGTAGGGGATATAGAATGGCACTGAATTGAAAATTGGTTTAAAACTGGACATTTTTCACACTTGATAATAGGGTATCCAAGGAGTGAGTCCTGCTGTTTTACATCTGTTTGAAAGAGGGCAGTGTAAGCATTCTTTTTGTGTGTGAAGATGATTCTGAAGCAGAGCAAATAAGATTTAGATTTGGATATTTTGAGTAGCTGGGCAAGTAAGCCCCAAACTTATGTGGTTAGATATAAAATGATTAGTATGGGAGAAAGGAAGGAAAGAGGGGATACACTTATCCTCTACCTTTCTGTAGGTGTATCTAATTCACTACTGCCCTTTACAGATATGGTTGTTAGCAATGATTTTGCAATCACTTTGCTAACATCTGTTCTCCGACTTTTAAAAGGAACATTCTGATCAGGAGAGCGATTTGAAGGCTGTTGTGGATGAATCTGTGGAACGGGACACAAGTTAAAATGAGCTGGAAGTAAGGAGAAAGTTCAGATGACATTGTTTCCGACAAATAATAATGCAATACGTTTGTTTGAGGGAAGGAGATTGAAGCAGAAACAATGGGTGTACGTGTGTGAGGGACAACTAGATGCATTTCTGGACAGAAGGGATTCAGGGGTAGAGTGAGAACAGACGTGTTGGGCTGAATGGCCTTTATCTGTTCTAAACATTTAATGTACACCTTATTGTAAACACATTGCAACAACTGACTGAGCAGGATTATAAATTAGGGTCTAGTGTTACACACTTCACACAAATTGTTTTTGAAGGATAGGTATGGAGTAAGTGCAGAAAAAAGAGAGTACCTTAAGTGGTAAATCGCACTTATTGTGATGGATAAGGAAGACAAATGATTAGCGTCTGAGGAAAACCTTTTATGGCACTTGGAGAGGAATGGTTCCACATCCTAAGGGAATAAAATGACAGCATTCATTCCATTCTACACGGTCACCATTCATGCTGTCAGTTGGTGATTTTGAATGAGAATACAGCTGTGTAAGTGCATGTTGTTGTCATTGCTCCATGGGTAACAGCTTATACTTGAATCAATCAAGTGCTTTTTAAACGTTAACTTTTTAACATATATATACACCGATCCTATGATCTGGGCTTTTGGTGGAATGTGCAGCTTGTATTTTAATACAATTTAGAGTTATAATTTACATTTATACAGGTCGAAGGGATAGGGAGGAGAACAATGACTGAAATGCGCAATCAAAGCTATATATCTTGAGATGGACCTTAAAGGGAGGTGAGGGAGGGAGTTAGACGGACACGTTGAGAGCAGGACTGAATAGTGCAGATGTAGGGATGGACAAGTATAAAAGGTCAAGGGTAAGAAATTGGGGTTAGGAGTAGATTGCAGTAGTGGGTGAGCTTGGTTCAGTTTAGGTTCAGACCTGATGGCCTCCTCCTG